GTGTAAACACACACAGGAAGTGCTGCATACATGCCCCCTTCCTGTGACCAGCAACACTTGGAAAACAGCATCACTTATCACGGGGAGGGGGTGTACACATTTGTTCTTCTTCTGTGCATGTGCACTATGCAGATGACTCAGCGATTGTGCAGTGGTGGTGGGGATGGGCAGACGCCAGCATGGTCATGCCCACTCTCTCACCCCATGTGTTGAGTCATTGCATGGACAAGTCATTCACACAAGGCTCCCGTGTCTCATATTCTCTTGCCACTTCAGTCTCTGGGCCTTTTCCAAAACCATGCTGTGCCTATGCCTTTTCCCATGATTGTCTGGCCACTTCCTCCTTGATCTCTCCTTGAAAACTTAACTAGTCTTTATATACATCCTCAGTAATCCTTAACAAAAGCCACATGATGTCGGCCACTATTATCCCATATTCAGGTGTACTGAATATGATGGATGTGTGGTCAAGGAAAGTAGCTTGTTTACGGCCAATTGTTGAGTTATAAACTGAGGTAATATTCCTGCCAGGGACTTCTGGGTTATTTTAGGACAGTGTACCTTCCCCCATAACCCTTGCCCAGTGAATGGTAATTCTTCCTGTAAATAAGTTCATATAGATTACATAATTGGGTTTACATTCTTGATTCAGCAGATATTCATTTTCATAATATTACACATGTAATATTGCATATTAGTCCTGATCTGGATAGCTCAGACTAGCCCAGTCTTGTCAGATCTTGGAAGTTAACCAGGGTCAACCTGGGTTAGTACTTGGATCGAAGACCACCAAGGAAGTCCAGGGTCATGACGCAGAGGCAGGCTATGGCAAATCACCTCCAAATGTCTCTTGCTTTGAAAACCCTATGGCAGGGGTCCCCAAACTTTGTCAGCCTGTGGACACATTTGGAATTCTGACACGGGATGGTGGATGCAGCAACAAAATGGCTGCCACAGTAGATGGAGTCAGCCACAAAATGGCTGCCACAGGAGACGGAGCGATACGCAAAATGATTGCCATAGACAACCTAACTTCAGTAACAGTGTAGATCCTTGTGCTGTGGTGGCCATTGCTGCCAAAGCAACATTTTTAAAAATCCACACAGCCAAACAAGTCTCCAGTAATCAGTCAGAAGCCTTGCTGGGCAAAAGCTCTACCTGGCTTCACCCACTCCCTAAAAACACTTGGTGGGCAAAATTGTTGGCAGGGACCATGTTGGGGACTCCTGCCCTGTGGGATCACTGTATGTCAGCTGTGACTTGACAGCAAAAAAATGGCTTTGACATAACTTGTATTTCTCCTGTGTAATCATTCTCCAGGTGTAGTGGCATTGAGCACTTCTTCTTGGAGATCCTTGACCGTCTTCCAGATATGGAGTTTGTGGTCAACGTACGGGACTATCCCCAGGTGCCCAAATGGACAAAACCTCTTATTCCCGTCTTCTCCTTCAGTAAGGTAAGAGGGGTTATGTCTTCTGCCCTTATGTGGGCTACTGTGACACGTAATTGAATCTCTTGCAATACTGAGACATTCTGCTGTTACTAACCTGCTTCACTGTCTTTTTATTTTCTGGGAGACTTCAGAATACTATGATATTATGTATCCTGCCTGGACATTTTGGGAAGGAGGACCAGCTGTCTGGCCCATTTACCCAACAGGCCTAGGACGCTGGGACATAATGAGAGAGGACCTCCAAAGGTACATTTGAAGAAAGAAATATGTTGCCTTCAAACTATGAGTGTGTGTTTCTTCTGTTAACTTTGCACTTGTATGAAGCCAAAAACTTCAGTCCAAATCATGTATGTTGAGAAATATATCACCCTTACTGTTTTTCAAAAGTATACATGATATTGCATTTTGTGGGATCCACAAGCCCTGGTAAGTTGGTTTCCCAAGCTGGTAGAGTCTTGTGGACTTTAAAAGGCCAAATTGATTGGGTTTCCTTCGCAATACACACTGATACCACACATAATTTCGCATTAGATTTCACTGGATGGATGTTAAGATGTAGGGCAAGCAAGTGTAAAGAGCTTGTATATTCTTAATGGATGTGAAGAGGATTTCAGTGGGTTCAGCTGGTCATACTGGGTGAATAGCTGGATCTGCTAAAATTCTCTGTTCCATAAGGTAAAGGTAAAGGTTTCCCTTGCTCAAAACCCAGTTGAATCCGACTTTAGGGTTGCGGTGCTCATCTTCATTTCCAAGCCGAAGAGCCAGCGCTGTCCAAAGACGTTTCCGTGGTCATGTGGCCAGCATGACTAAACGCCAAGGTGCACGGAACACTGTTACCTTCCCACCGAAGTGGTACCTATTTATCTACTTGCAATTTCTTGCTTTCGAACTGCTAGGTTCCATACAAATACTAAAAATACAAGAGTTGAAACCTTTACTTCTGGTCATCCTAACTATAGCACACCAGAGAGAAAAGGTGACAACCACGTTTAGTAGGGAAAAGGTCATAGTTAAGTGGGGTGGGGTTACAGATGATCCTTTCACTAACTTCTTGGCACCTTTAGTGTGCTCTGGTAACTTCGTGTATATGTGAGTGTGGGTTTAAAGTGGCATCAAATTGCAGCAGAGGTGCAAGCTTTGAAGACAAGTGAGCAGCAGAGGTGGCTTGTCATTGCCTTCGTCTGCAGAATGTTTCTTGGTGGTCTCCCTTCCAAGAACCAACCATGTTTAGTTTCTGAGATCTGGCAAGATCAGGCAATACCGTGCTGCCTGCCCTCCTGCTCTGATAACTAGCAGCTTTTAAATTTGATTTAACTGGTTGGCACTTTGTTGATGTAGGCCTCGCCACAGATTATCATGAATTTGAGTGTAGTTACAATCAAAGTGGGGTTTTTTTAAAAAAAATAACTGTTTATATCTTTTGAAAAATAACTCTATTTGTTTAAGCTCTAAGAGCAGTTGGTTTTAAAGATGCTGATTTTGCATGAATGGGATTGAAATATATGCCTGCTGACCTCACAGGTGAGAGAAATGGCCCAATCTCTTCTGGTTGTCTTGAACTTCAAACACACAAGAAGTGGGTTTTAAAGTATTTTGTTAGAATAATGTATGGCACTACAAATATAATGAGATCATTAACCTACAGCCAAATAAGAAGTTCTGAGAACTAGGAAGGAATTATGTGCAGCAATTATTAAGATGGCCCGCTTGTATTTATCCAAAATATTTTCAGCTCAGCAGAACATTGGCCATGGAAGAAGAAGATTCCCACAGCCTACTTCCGAGGATCGCGGTAAGCACATTTTTTTTAGTTCCAAATGCTTTAATGCGAGTTCTAGCCACAGCTACAGGACTCAAGCCTTAAACAAAGCAGTGTATCAGATGGACCAGAAATTTATTTATTAGACTTTTTAGTTGCTGCTCACCTGAAGGGTCTCCTGGTGACTTACAACATTAAAACCAACAAGATAAAAACAAATAATAAATATAAAATATTAATGTTAAAATATTAAATTATTAAAATATGTGGCTAGCACCATACCACTAATCAAAACAACACAAACATGTGGTTACCCTCCAAAAGCCAACCTAAACAATTCGGCCTTACATGCCTTGCAGAAACTAAACAAGTCTGGCAGGGCAGGGATGTCATCTAAGAGTGCATTCCACAGGGTAGGGGCCACAACTGCAAAGGTCCTTCTCCTAGTGACAGCTAATCGAGCCATCCTGGGGCCAGGCACTTGCAGGAGGCCCCTAAAGGATGGCCAAAGGAAGAGTGGGGGGGGGTTGTAATGGGAGAGGTGGTCCTGTAGGTATGAGAGTTACCGACCATTAAGAACTTTAAAGATTAACGCCAACACCTTGCATTGAATCCAGACACTAATTGGTAGCCAGTGTGGCTGCTGCAGGATTGAAGTAATAGGAGTTGACCAAGATGTTCCAGGCAGCTGCATTCTGGGCCACCCGTAGACTCCAAAGCATTGTCAAGGGTAGCCCTACTGCAGAGCGACTTGCAGTAGTCCAGTTTGGAGGTGACTGTTGCATGGATCAATGTGACCCAGACCAATAAGGAGCCAGCTGGTGGGCCTGGCATAGGTGGAAAAACACAGACCATGCAGCCATGGACACTTGTTTATCCAATGGTAGTGCAGAATCCAACCACATCACGAGGCTCTTTACAGAGTCAACAGCTGACAGCTGGACACCATCAAGTCTCAGGAGTGACCCTCCAGCTAGCATCTCAGTCTTTCCCAGCTGCATGACTTCCATATTGGATGGACTGAACTTTAGCCAGCTCCCTCTTAACCACTGGACTACCGCATTCAGGGACTGGGATAGTGCCGAGAGCCCTGCCACTGGCTGCAGACATGCTTATTGCAAATAAAATACGTTTAAACTAAGTTCATCACTAGCAGATATTTCTTTTTGAAAGGCATACTTCGATGTGCTGCACAATTCCCTGGTGTGAGGTTAGGAAATGACCTTGAAGAGAGATGAAACAGATCTTACCCAAAGGCCCCCTAAATAAAAGGAAGTCTGTCTGCTGATCTCAGGTTGCTAAATATATATCAGACTGAAGGTATGCTATAAATGCTGCTCTTCATGCTCCATTGTTTTAGAGTGCTGAAGAATCATTTGAGTCACAAAACTTACTGTCTAGTAAAGCAGCCATAATACTAAGATTCCCTCGTGTTCGTGCTTTTCATTAATTTGGGTAGTTTTTGGTAAGAAGTTCAAAGTTCACAGAGTTACTTTAGTTGTGACTCCTGTGGATTGGTAGGAAATGCTAATGTCCTGAACTTCCTGCCTGTGTTCTTCTTCATCACATTTGAAACAGACTTCTGCATCTTGGATTGACAAGGGTGTATGTAGGCCATGTGTGTAGCCATTCCCTGAGCCCACCTCCCTCCCTGAGGCTTTTGGCTGGGCTTAGCCAATTCTGGCACTGTCCACACCTTAAAGGAGCTGCAGCATTTCCGTGATTTCAGAAGCGGTGTTGTAAATGGCCTGAAGGGTGGTGGTTTAGCCCCTGGAGGATGATTGGAGTAAGTCTGAGGGCCACAACATGCTCCACATTGGTCCCCTGACACCTTCATCGTTGCTGTTCCACTTTAATGTCCTAAATTATTTGGTGTCGTACCAAGAGGAACACTTGTGTAATTGTAATGCTTTTCCATATGATCAGGCATTTCTTTATATGTTTGGATAGTTTTTTTAGATGAAAGTGTTTGTTGATAGATTTATGTGTGGTTTTTTCCTGACAGGACAAGCCCAGAGCGGGACCCCCTCATTCTTCTTTCTCGAGAAAATCCAGACCTTGTTGATGCAGAATACACTAAAAACCAAGCCTGGAAATCTGAAAGAGTAACTATTGTTAAATTCATCTTTCCATTAGGAAGGGGAATTGTCTATTATCAGAAGAGACAACAGCAAAAAGAGGGCTTCCGCTTCTGTGACAGATGAGTACCCAACTCTGTGTTAGCCTTGAAGAGTGAACAAGGACTGTTGCATTCAAGATGTTCAGTCTTAGAACGCACCAATTCCATCTTGCTTTCTATCTGGATAGGCCCCTTGTTACGTTAGCATGTGCAGTGTAAGTGTCACTTGTTCAGTCATGTCACATGTTCAGTCATGGAAGTGATCTGGGGCTTTTCTATTCAGATGACAAATGCTGATGATTTGCATTTTGTAACACAGAGCTTCGTGTCCTACTGAAAATTAATTCCAAAACTGAAGGGAACTGTAATTATGCCTGTTGCACATCATATTTGTACAGTTAGCAGAGAGACAACTTCTAATAAAAGTTTTAGAATAAATATTCTCTCTCCCTTAAAGGACACCCTTGGAAAACCGCCTGCTAAGGAAGTTCCTCTGGTGGACCATTGTAAGTACAAGTAAGTGTAGAATCCATTTGAAACACTTTATTTCTCCATTCTATATTATGGAAACACTGGAATAAATACTGGTCTCTCTGGCTGTAGTTATGGCTGGGTTATGATGGTTCCTCATTAACCTGGGGCAGTTGAAGATCTATTTCATTACATTATGGTTTGTCCTTTATATTCAGACCTAAGAAGCAGATTCCTATCTGGAATTTTAAGCGAACTTTGCAATTTACCTGACAATGAAAAGTTGGTTTTCCTCTTGTCAGATATGTATCCTGTGGTTACTCGCAAGGTAGCGCTTTTTGCACTTGCAGCCAGAAAAGTTAGATTCAAGGCTGTTTCCCAGTATTGTCTAACATAGAGCTACAAAACTGGTAGCATAGCTTTTATGATTTTAAAACTTTGTTTTATTTGTTGAAATGTTATATGGTCTTATTCTGAAGGCTTTGTTTTTAGAACAGTACTTTTGAACCCTAAATTTATATCGTGTATTTATATTTTATATTGTAACGGCCAACAGCCATATACAATAAACTTATTTACACTCATTAACCTGGCTGCCAGCCAGTTTGCTCCACAATTCTTAGCTTTAGGTTGCTGCCATTTCCCACTTTGCTGTGCTTTTGAACTCAAGTAAGAATCATCAAGTAGTTCCTGCCCTGAATTGTTTTAAAGAGAAAACTATATAAACTGCATTAGTGCCAGATGAATGTAACCTTAATCATTTTATCTATCATGAGCTACCCCCTCCACCCTTATAAAAGCAGTCAGACATCACACATTATGTAAGATATTTAAGAAACTTCAGAGAACCATCATGATTCCCTTGGTTTTACTCACTGATAGTAAGTAGGTGGTACAATATACTCCATAGGATGTCTGCAGTGATTCTGACAGAGTAAACCTAAGGCACTCTGTCAAGTCCCTAGAGTATCACTGTAAGATATTTCTGTGGCATATGTAGATAATGCTACTCAGATCCTAGTATGTTAAATGACTTCCCTTGGAAGACCAAAACAATGCCTGGAATATAAATTAGGGATTCTGATTGGGATGTTCTTACTAAAAGTCATAGGTGCTGCCTCACTTGTCTTTTGATGATACATCTCATCATCTCTCTTATTTCCACAGGAGTTGCACACACTATAGTTGCAAACGTTCAGGTGCTGGTGGAGGCTATTTGAAGCATGTATTAAGATCTAGATTTAACTTTAGCTTTACAGTTAAAAGTGCATTCACCCTTCTTGATACAGATTTGCTTGGGACTAGTTTTAAAACCAGAAGGGATGTACAAGCATTTACCTTGTTGCAGCAGTTAAGGGCATTGTACTGCAGTTGCTTTTTGCTACTCTGTGGGAAGATCAAGTAGAATGTACACCCCTCTTGCCAAGCACTTAACGCAGAGCATCGGATGTACCACACATTGATGTATGGAAGTCATAATCTTCTCATTTTGTGAGCACAGCGTTGTAGATCTTTTAAAAAGCAGACAAGGTTTTATTAATTATGAAAGAAGAGAAATAGGTTACTGAAAGAGAAGGCAGTATTCTAATAGCAGCTCTTTGTATTACGCAGATACCTCTTTAATTTCCGAGGTGTAGCAGCCAGTTTTCGATTCAAGCACCTCTTCCTGTGTGGCTCATTGGTTTTTCACGTTGGGGAAGACTGGCAGGAATTCTTCTATGCACAGCTGAAACCTTGGGTTCACTACATCCCAGTCAAGTCTGATCTTTCCAATGTGAGGTAAAAAGTTAAAGCTGGAGTAGCTTGCTACCTCTTTTTGTGTTTTAGTGCATGGATGTGTGTATTTATTTATTTACTTACTTCTCCACCCCCCCAATTGGGGACCCCAAGCAGCTTACATTGTCTTCTCCATTTTGTCCTCACAACCCTATGAGGCAGGTTACGCTGAGAGCATGTGACCGGCCCCAGGTAACCCAGTACTTCCATGGCAGAGTTGGAATTTGAACCCTAATTTCCCAGATTCTAGTATTCTCTCTTGGTCTAAATGACAACAGGATTTAGCAGTGCTGATAGTACAATGTCTTTCAGAAGACAGCATTATATGATGATGTTTTGCTTGGTACTGTAGAGGATGTGTTCAAGTTAAAGATCACTAAATAGTAACTTTTGGGAACAATGTGTTTGTATTTGTCATAGTTACAAAAAACCAAACAAACCAATGTATTAGAGATGCAATAAATGCAGGTTTGGTGTGCCTTTAATGCAGCAAGTTTGCAGGAGATAGTTAAATTTAAAACTTGCACATTCTCAACAGTCAAAGGTTAGTCTTGCAAAAATATTACGCACTTTTTAATCTTAGGACAATCCTTCCATCTTTGGAAGTATTGGTTATTTCATATCTAGTATTTTAGAACCTGCTACTGGCATGCTACAGAGGAAACTACATTTTTTCACCTCACTTTTACAGGAAGAGATGCATGTTCTCCTGCTGTGGGAACAGGAAGCGCAGATCTTTGATTCACAGATTGAAAGAGTGCAAGGAGCAGCAAAGAACCCTTGCTTCCTCTTTTGCAACTATTTTTGGGGATGTCCCAAGCAGCTCTCGGGTTTTTTTTTTTAAAAAAATGGTATAATATTTTGCCAACAGAATGCAGCTCCTTTCAGCTACAGCATTAATTGAATGCGCATGCTGCATCCCTCATGCCTGCTTAATCTACACATCATAATCAGGGTGGAACTGAACATGATGCACTGTTACACTAAATAGAGCTTTCTGTACCAGTTGATATGAGCAAGTAAATACCTCAGTGTGTTCATAGGAAATGGGGCGAGCCTAAAGGGAAGCTTCCTACTCCGTGGTTATTACTAAGAAGGGAGGAAAGCAATCCGTGCGGGTTCAAGATGGGAACAGAACTACCCATCCCAGTTTGGTCCTAACTGTCTAGTCTTAGCTCAATAGCCTGATTATCAGTGTATTCGTACATATTCACCCACAGTGGTAATAATGTATCTGCTTTGTTTTAGGGAGCTGCTACAGTTTGTAAAAGAAAATGATGACATAGTCCAAGAAATTGCAGAGAGGTAAGTTCTATAGAGAAGGGCCACGATGGCTCAGAGGTTAAGACGCTGAGGTTCGGCAGTTCGAGACCCGAGTGCCGCATGATGGAATGAGCTCCCGTCTCTGGCCCCAGCTCCTGCCAACCTAGCAGTTCAAAAACAAGAAATTGCAAGTAGATAAATAGGTACCAGCAGTCTGTGTGCCTCGGCGTTTAGTCATGTCGGCCACATGACTACAGAAACGTCTTCGGACATCACTGGCTCTTTGGCTTGGAAATGGAGATGAGCACCGCCCACTAGAGTTGGATCCGACTAGCTTTCGAGCAAGGGAAACCTGTATCTTTAAGTTCTATAGGTGACTGCTGAGTAACTTCATTTGCTGAACTAACTAACTGAAATTCCTTTTTCCATAGTTGTGTTTTTTTTGGGGGGGGGGGGGGGGAGTGGGCCTTTCAGAAACTTGGTGGGATGGGGAATATGAATATCTGTCCCTAGATATAAGTTGCACAGGAGATGGGAAAAGACGTATTGGGTGGGGTGTCTCCAGTCAATTAGAACACTTAGACGGAACAGATCTTGGGCTTGAAAGGTAACTTAATGCTGGCTACATTCTGTTGCCCACTTGACCCAAACATTGAAGATAATCTTGAAATAGAGAAAGAAATATGGGTGTCTTCAGCTGCTTTATCACTGACTGAATATGTATGTGTCCACATCGCGAGAAAGAGACAAAATTTCTAGATACCTTAAGAACATGAGCCCTGCTGGATCAGACCAACAGTCCACGTAGTCCAGCATCCTTTCTCACATGGTGGCCAACCAATTCCTCTGGATGGCAAACAGAAGGGCATAGAGGCCAAGACCTTCCTCTGATATTGCCTTCTGGCTCTGGTATTCAGAGGCTTAGTGCCTCTGAATGTGGAGGTTCCTCTCAGTCACCATGGCTAGTAGCCACTGAATCTATCTAATCCCCTTTTAAAGCTCTTTATTCCTGTGGCCCATCACTACATCCTTTGGCAGCAAATTCCATGTTTTAATCACTCTCGCTTTAAAGTAGTATTTCCTGTTGTCTGTCCTGAACTAGTAGGCCCATCAATTTCATTGGACACCCTCGAGTTCTACTATTTTGGGAGAAAAAATTCTCTGTGTCAACTTTCTCCACCCCATGCATAATTTTATAAACCTCTGTTATGTCCCTCCTTAGTTGTCTCTTTTCTAAACTGAAAAGTCCCAAACTCTTCAGCCTTTCCTCATAGGGAAGGTGCTCCAACCCCCCAGTCGTCTTGGTTGTCCTCCTCTGTACTTTTTCCAGGTCTGCACTGTCCTTTTGGAGATACAGTGACCAGAACTGTACACAGTATTCCAAATGAGGCTACGCCATAGATCTATACAGGGCATTACAATATCTGACTTTTTATTTTCAATCCCTTTCCTAATAATCCCTAACATAGACTTTGCCTTTTTCACTGCTACAGCACAGTGGGTTGACACTTTCAATCAGCTATCCGCTACGACCTTGAGATCTTTTTCCTTTTCTGTGTCAGCAAGTTCAGACCCTGTTAGCCTAGATTTGAAGTTGGGATTTTTTTGTCCCAATGTGTATCACCTCACACATACCAACACTGAACATCATTTGCCACATTGTTGCCCACTCACACAGTTTGTGGAGGCCCTCTTGAAGCTATTAGCCTTGGCTTTCACCATCCTGAATAATTTTGTGTCATTTGCAAACTTGGACACTACACTACTCACCCCCCTAGCTCCAGATCATGTATAAATAAATTAATTAGTACCAGCCCTAATACCAGTCCTTGTAGGACTCCAGTACTTAATTCCCTCAATTGTGAGAACTGTCCATTGGGTTCCTACTTTTTGCTTCCCATCATTTAACCAGTTTTTAATCCATAAGAGAACCCTTCCTGTTATCCCAATACTGCTAAGTTTACTCAGGAGCCTTTACTGAGGTACCTTGTCAAAAGCCTTTGAAAGTCCAGGTATATAAGAACATAAGAGACGCCAATGTTGGATCAGGCCAAAGGCCCATCCAGTCCAACACTCTGTGTCACACAGTGGCCAGAAATACCAGTGCCATCAGGAGGTCCAGCAGTGGGGCCAGGACATTAGAAGCCCTCCCCCATTGTCCCCCCCCCCCCAAGCACCAAGAAGACAGAGCATCACTTGCCCCAGAGCCCCTAGCTATACCTTGTGGCTAATAGCCACTGATGGACCTCTGCTCCATATGCTTATCTAATTCCCTTTTGAAGCCGTCCATGCTTGTAGCACCCACCACTTCCTGTGGCAGTGAATTCCATGTGTTAATCACTCTTTGGGTGAAGAAGTACTTCCTTTTATCCGTTCTAACCCGACCGCTCTGCAGTTTCATGGAGTGCCCACGAGTTCTTGTATTGTGAGAAAGGGAGAAAAGTACCTCTTTCTTTACCTGCTCTTTCCCATGCATAATCTTATAAACCTCGATCATGTCACCCCTCAGTCGTCTTTTCTCCAAGCTAAAGAGCCCTAAGCGCTTTAACCTTTCCTCATAGGGAAAGTGTTCCAACCCTTTTATCATTCGAGTTGCCCTTTTCTGCACTTTTTCCAAAGCTATAATATCCTTTTTAAGGTGTGGTGCCCAGAACTGCACACAGTATTCCAAATGAGGTCTCACCATTGATTTATATAGGGGCATTATTATATTGGCTGATCTGTTTTCAATACCCTTCCTAATAATCTATATAATGTCTGCTGGGTCATCCTTGTCTACATGCTTGTTCACATGCTCAAAGAACTCTAAAAGGTTGGTGAGGTAGGAATTCCCTTTGCAGAAGCCATGCTGATTTTTCCTAACAATTCTATCTTTGATGACAGTTCCGTTAAATTGCCTGAGACATATGTTAGGCTGTTTAAATCCACAGTAATGGGAGGTCGCATAGAAATTCTGGTCCAGCATGGCTGCTCATAAGCTTTTATGATACTCCATTTATGCACAAGAAATTTGGGAGGTCGGGCTGCTGTGTTGTGACTTGCCATTTTCTGAAATCAAGACACATGCACAAAAGTTTGGCTTGTGGTCCAGTGTGAGATTCATATTCTCAAAGAACTATGCTGTATGCTTGTGGTGTCAGGGTTCCCAGCAGACAAGAAATAATGCTACATAATTGATTGTACAAGACAGCCCTCATTTAATTTTAGCCCCCTCTAGTTCAAATCTCATACATCACTAATTTAGTTCATTAATGTAATTTCTTGGGTGTTCATCCCCATCAATGGAAGCCGTTTCCTTGGTTTTCCTCTATGCTCAAGCCTGCCACTAAAAGGAGTACAGACCTATTCCAGTTGCACATATATGTGCATTTTGTTCTACTGATATACTCTACAAACCTGTAAGAACTCTGTGATGCTAATTTTGTGATGGCATAAATTAGTATCTTCACTAACAGATCCATTCCTGTTTCAGTAACTTGAATGCTTAGCCAGGTTTAAAAGGGGAGGGGGAGGAAATGAGAGCCTGACAACTAACTGAAGTTTGATCTTGATGTTGAACTGAGTGGGGATTTAAACTTTGAATGTCAGCAATCCTAGTCTCACAAAGTAACTACCAAAACACATTGGCACTCCACGTTGCCTTAATATCTGATATATGAAAGCAATGACTGCAAGGGTCATCTTTGACTTTCTTTCTTGCCTCTAGGGGTCGCCAGTTTATTGTGGATCATTTGCAGATGGAGGATATCTCTTGCTATTGGGAAAGACTTCTAACTGAATATTCTAAAGCCCTGATTTACAAAGTTAAATGGAAGAGTAACTACAGTGAGATTTCCCCCAGACCACTGAAAACAGAGCTGTAGAAGCCACTGTTCCCTTTTAATCTCAGGACTAAGACTTGCAGACAGTGTTTCAAAAGGGTAACTGTGTTAAGTCTGTTTTGGCAAAGTAAAACAGAAATCAGTTGAAAGACTTGGTTAGTTTTATGGGTGCTGTTTGGTTTCTGTTTTAATTGTGGGCTGTGAAAAAGCTAGAGAATGGCATAGTTTTGTTCAGTTGGATCTTCATGTTTCATGCTACCAAGTCTGTTTTTAAAATGTATTATCATTATAATTATTGCATTCTGTATTAGTCAAATCTAGAATTTCATTTTTTAGTATTTTTATGACATTTTTGAAGTGTATGTGTGCAGCCCAGTTCCAGTATTGCTTTGCTTCATGAGCCCTGTTCACATTACAGTGAACATATGTACAAACTGCGTGTATGAGCGTACATCTGCTTGTAAAACTCAAATGAAACTCAGAATTTAACAGGGTGCAACCTAGGAATCCTTTTTCTTCTCTGCCCAGTTTTTACATGCAGTTTGAAAAAAAATAGATTTGCACTCTGTAAAATAAATGTTATTAATTGTATGAGCAGTCACTAGTTGCGTAGAGGTCACTGAGGAGCAGAGAAGGCTCTTTCCTGTCTTATATTCTTAATTTTCTGCCCTAATGGTTTAAACAAAATGGCTGCCAAGTGACTGAAATTGCCTTTCTAGGGTGGACACTGTCTTGTGCTGCTTCCACATAGCAACCACTGCCCTTGTAGCTCTTGTTGCCACTGTGTTCTCAAAGCAGCAACTGTGTGGCGCTTTTCTTTACACGTTCTTTGCCTCAGCCCTTGCTAATATCTGCCATTCCCTTGCTGATGTCACTATGGCTTTTTTAAAAAATCAGCAATTGCTCAATTGCTTCATTAACAATTTATTGCCATGCTATACTTCTCGAATCCTCAGTTTCTTTTCTTTTTTTAAAGCTCTTTCCCTTTTTTTTTTTCCCTTTTTGTTGTAGAGGTAGAAGGAAATTAGCATTTCTTATACATCTGCACCAAGAAGAGCTAGATCAGGGGTGTCGAACTCATGAGGGCTGGATCTGACATAAATGAGACCTTGTTGGGCCGGGCCATGTGTGTCATAAAATGTAATGCCAGGTAGATATAAACGTTATAAAGGACACAAACACAAAGGGTTTTTTTAACTTAAAATAAAAACATGCTTAAAACACTAGCACTCTTGCAATATTTTGTTTATTTAACAGCATCTGATAACTGACACCTCTTGCTCTGAATTAATGCATCAAAATGTCTGTGCTGTTGCAATCTTGATTATGCTGTTCAGGTGTGTATCTGTAAGCTGCAAACCTACAATGATAATGCAGAACTGGAAGAAGAAGCAGAAGACAGCCAGTTCCACTGCAGGCCTGATAGAAGCCCTCCAGGGGCCTGATCCAGCTCCCAGGCGACATGTTTGACACACCTGAGATAGATAACTTTATGAAATGAAAGCTGGGAATTCAGGGAGGTCAGTAGCAATGCTCCCTCTAAACTATGGAGTCTTGTGAGCAAAAATTCCACTTTGTGAGCTACTGGCATTAAACGTTGTGAACAAGTGATTTGGCTGCTGCATAAATTAGTTTGCTCTGGAGCCATCCTTCCTGAGCTAAGGCAAAAATGTGTGAGCCGGAAGCTAAAAAAACTGAGCTAGCTCACACTAACTCAGATTAGAGGGAACACTGGTCAGTAGATCATGGTGATAGTTAGAAGTGGGGAACCTGCAAGCACTTCCAGAGGCCATTTTGCTTTCCCCTGCTTCCTTCTCTTTCCCATCCATCAGCCAACCTACAATTATCAGCCCTCAAGTTTCCCTCCTTCCCTCCCCAGTAGCTTCTCCCTGGGCCAACTCTGTGCAGTTCTAGCTGTTAGGCCAGACATAGTTGTACAGTGGGAAACCTGCATAGACTTGGAGGGGGCACTTCATTTCCCCCATCTGTCTGCCTCCCAACACTATTTCCCCTTTCCCCCCTCCTGGCAGTCCCCGTATCCCTCCCCCCCCCCACTGTTTATTGATATTTCAGAAATAATACAGAATTACAAGTAGAAATTACAAAATTTTGCAAACTAGAGTCAAAATATGTTTCCGTATATTACTCATATAGTAACATGAGGGTAACAATATAACAGTCTTAATATTGTGTCAGTATCAACAGTGCTCATAAGAATTAAACAATGTTTAATAAAGTTGTGTACTCTTTAAAGAGCATTCTGGTAATTGATTTTATTTTCCTAGAAGATCAGATAAACATCAATGATGTTGTTAGTGCAACTCAACCAGACTCCCAAAAAATATAGGAAATATATTAGGAGATTGGATTTATACCCCACCCTTCACTACCCGAGGGAGTCTCAGAGTGGCTTACAAACTCCTTTCCCTTCCCCTCCCCACAACAGACACCCTGTAAGGTAGGTGGGGCTGAGAGAGCTCTGACAGAGACTGCTCTTTTTCAAGAACAGCTGTGCCAGAAATATGGCTTGCCCAAGGTCATCCAGCCCGGTGCAAGTGGAGGAGTGGGGAATCAAACCCGGTTCTCCCAGATTAGAGTCGGTACACTTAACCACTACACCAAACTGGCTCTATTAGGTGTAAATCATTTTGAGACATATCAGGTTATGTGGTTGGATATCAGATACAGTTATCTATTCTATAATCGGAGACCATTTCTTAAAGAAGTTGGAGTGTTGTGGGAAGCAGTCAACTTGTCATAAAGAATCTGTTATCTTTTTCATAATGAGGAGGTCCCAGACTTTTGAGAACCAATTATCTATCGTGGGGGCCAGATGTGATTTCCATCTTGAAGCTATCCCATATCATCACCGTTTCCTGCTTCCTTCTCTCCTTGCCACCTACCCACCAACCTGCGTTTTAATTCTCACACATCAGCAGCTATATCCTATGTTTCTCCACAATGGGGACCCGAAGCCACTTACAACATTCTCCTCCTCCATTTTATCCTCACAACAACCCTGAGTGATGGTGACTAGCTCAAAGTCACCTAGTGAGCTTTCAAAGCAGAGTGAGGGTTCAAAACTGGGTCTCCCAGATCCTAGTATGAAACTGTAACCACTATACCACACTGGTTTTAGTGGGGTGGCTACTGCTGAACAGTAGCAAGCAGCTAGACCCCAGTGAATCATGCAAATCACATAACAGCACTTGCTGCCAGGCCTGCCCCCCTGCCTTTCACTGACAGACACTGAGACTTGGGCTGACAATACTGTTCTGGCTGCCTAGCAATGGTCATTTCTTAAAGGTACAAATGCTGCTCTAATTATTTTTTGTGGTTTTAACCCTCTACATGTATTTCCTTTTAAATTTCAGGGGCAATTTTCAGGTTTGCAGAAATATCTGTTAATTAAAAAAAATAAATAAAGTTCGTATTTTTCCTACACAAAACCCACTTTCGTGTTCTGGGTTAGGGAAGAATGAATGATGATCCTGTATGCAAGAAATTAGCCAGTGGGAAACCGGGGTGTGCGTGTGCGTAAACCTCTCTTTCAAAAAGAGCGGGATAAACCGTATAAGACGCTCCTGAAGCCCGTGCCGGGTTTCCCAATGCGAGGCTCCTCTGGATGTGTTCAAGAAGGGTTGCAAGTGATGCCAGCCCAGAGCCGCTGGTCTCGTGCCCTCCTCCCGCAGTCCGCCCGCAGCTCTCGCAGTCCGCCTCCTCCCGTTCGGCCGGAAAGAGCCCAGTAGCCGCCATGCTTCCTCCGCTGCGCCAGGGCGGCACTCTCTTCTTTCGCCCTTTTCCGGTGCGGCGGAGCGTGCCGAGACCGCGGCCGACGAGGCTTGAGTGCTCCATGGGGGGGTGGCTATGGGGCCGCTGTCTGGCAGCAGCGCCGCCTCGTCTTCAGCGTTCGCCGGGGAGCAGCCGGGTTCCAAGCCCTGGTATGCGGGCAGGTCTCAGGAGCCGGAGTCGGGTTGGGAACGAGTCTTTCAGCTCTTCCGCAAAGAGTGAGTGAAGGGGGTGTGCGAGAGGAGTCCCGCTAGGACGCGACCTTGATGAATGAAGGGGGAGGGGAGGAGTCCTACCAGCGGACCCCTTTGCGGCCCTTGGGTGTCCTGCGTTTCCGTTGCGGCTCCTGGGTGTCCTGCGTTTTGGCCTTCGGCTTCGTCTGTTTCAGGGCTGTTGAGAAGCAGGATCTGTGGCTTGAGCTGGTCCGAAAGTAGGGTTGCTAGTCTCCAGGTGGGACCTGGTGGAGATCTCCTGGAATTAGAACATCTCCAGGCCACAGAAATCAGTTCCCTTGGAGAACAAGGCTGCGTTGGAAGGTGGACTCTGTGTCATTATACCCCGATGCGGTCCGTCCCTCCCCCAAATCTCCAGGCATTTCCCAACCCACAGCTGGCAAGCCTATCCGAAAGGGAAAAGGCTCAAGATAGGGTCCTCGGTAAGAGTGCCGAAATGAGTGCCTGCAGTTATTTCTAAGGAACAGCCGATCCACAGTATCCCTTTGCTTTACAAGGGCTAGAAAGAAATTTCATTTTTGAAAATGTGCGCACAGGTGAGGGTATTCTGGAAAGCAGGGATCCAGGGCATCTCTAGGCTCCCAAAATAAGGAATTCCTACTGGCAGAGGCTGTTACAGCTGCCAGAAAACAATATAGCTTCTCTTACTCTGAAATCTCACTTTTAATTGAAGTAGAGGATATCTCTCTTTTTTTTAAGCTGCTAACAAAATCAGTAGTAATCATATGGTCATTCTGAAAAGATATACTATCAGCCCGCTACACGTGCTTCACTACGGTATTTAAGTTCCGTAAATCCAGTTATAATACTGATGATGTGAAATTTGAAATGTGACATTTGTTGTAGGAATTCTAATGGAGAAGACTGTAGTGTAAGAAATTATATGAGACTTACGTACTCCCCCCCCCCCACTGAAGGATCTCTCTCTAGACCACATTGGTGGTTCTTCCCTCAGGTGCTAGGATCACCAGGCCACTTGATGAGCTTACTCTGGAGCAGGCCACATAGAACTGTCCATTTAAGAAGCAGTTGTCTCTTAAGTCAACTCCTGCTACCTTCCATGAAAGTGATGGCCTCTCTACTTGTGTTCCTGGGTTGTTTTGCTCATATGGAGCCTTGGTTGTTCTGAGCACCTCATGGCGATCTTGCTGGTACTTGGCCTGTGCAGCTCAGTGCACTGCAGGAGTACTATATTTGCAAATGTCTTTGCCGCATTCCTAAGTTGCCTCCTCCTTGTAGCGTTGGTGTACCTGGCTCAGCGTTTGCCAGGAGCTTTCTTGGAGGCAGTAAGACGTGAGAGGTGTGAGGGGGAGTTGGTGTGAGGGAGTGGTGATGTGGTGGACATTTCTTCCGGTTCATGAGGGAGGCAAGCATCAAAATGGCTCCTAGAAATGTCCTTTACTATCTCCCCATAAACATTCATACCCTGGCCCTGCTCCTGCACCTGACAGACACCGGCCTGTCTGGTGTTGTGGGGGATTGTATTTAAAGGCTGGGCCAGCAGCAGTGCTAAGGCAATCCTGCTGAGCAAACCTCCCCAGCGGCTGTAAGCATCCCACCTCCTCTCCTGCACCTGAGAGGCAGCTGCCTGTCCAGTGTAGGAGGGGGAGGGGGGAGGAGTATTAGAAGCCACAGTGGAGGCAGGGCTGGCAGGATCACTAAGGTGTTACTGCTGGGGCAGGCTCCCTGTCCTGTGTAGGAGGGGGGAGGAATATTAGAAGTCACTGTGCAGGTGGGGCTCCACCTGCCTGTTAGGTGTAGGAGGTGGGGGGAGTGTGTTGGAAACCATCTCACCTCCTCTCCTACACCTGACAGGCAGCTGCCTGTCCAATGTAGGGGGGGGGAGTATTAGAAGCCATTGTGGAAGTGGGGCTGCACCTGACAGACAACCGCCTGTTAGGTGTAGGAGGTGGGGGAGTGTGTTGTAAGACATCCCACTTCCTCTCCTACACCTGACAGGCAACTGCCTGTCCAGTGTAGGAGGGGGAGGTGGGAGGAGTATTAGAAGCGACTGTGGAGGTGGGGCTGCACCTCACAGACAACCGCCTATTAGGTGTAGGAGGTGGGGGGAGTGTGTTGGAAGCCATCAGAGAGGCTGGGCCAGCAGCTTTGCTTCACCTCACAGGTGTTTCTTGGTCACTCCTGATTTCCTCAACTGTCATTAGCTCTCTGCAGTCCCCTGTAACTGTTGGCTTTTTTTACCTCGGAACTTTCAGCTCTGCAGCTGACCAATCAGAGAGTGGGGGGTGCAGGGAGAGAGCTGCTTGGCAGCCTCATAGCAATCAGTGGGGAGAGCACATTTCCCCCCTTTTGACCCTCTTAAGGGTTGAATTTCTAAAAATCCCTTCTTAGCGAGCACCTATGCCACGGTGGGAGTGGTCTCCCCAAATTTGGTGTCTCTAGGTCCAGCGGTTAGGCCTGTGCCTTGTTTTGCGGTGAGGGGACTTTTTATATATATATATAGACTAGGAATAACAATGAGTGCTAGAAAGAGGCTCTGGGAGAGTGCCAAGGCCATGGGCACTCAGAATCAATTTGCCATGGCAACCTAAGCAGGGTATAAGGACACAGAGTCCACCATTTTCTCCAGGGGAATGGATCAATGCCATCTGGAAAGCATTGTAATTCTGAGTGATCTCCAGCCCCCACCTGGAGATTGCACACAGTGGTTACCCATTACGGAATGGCTGGTTTGGAGGGCATGGTACATATCTGTGGCAGTAATGGGGTGACTGCTGGCACCTTTTCCTATCATTTTTTGCCTTGTGGTATTCTGCTTGTGGTGTGATCTGTCTTTTTTGTGGTGTGGCATGATTGTGTTATTGGGTTTGTTTCTTTTGAAGGGGATGTGATGTGTTGTGAGTGAGGACATATTTTACCTCACAATACAGCAGGTCCCATATGCAACTGACAGTTCCAACTGTCTCGTGGGGGGGGAGGGAATTTGAGGTGCGGAATGAAGTGAAGTCCAGTCAGCTTCCATATGCAAATGACTTTGAAATGCTGGCCCAATCAGAGAAGAGTGGCCTAGGCGGGTGGGAGAGAACTCAGGAGTGGGTGGGAGAGAACTCAGGCAACACAGCCAGTGGATAGAGACACCTTGTGATTGACACATCACGGAGCCAACTGATTTTGGAGTGCATAGAACGTTGTGGGACCACTACTCAATTATATATAAGGAGAGATTAGGAATAAGGTCCATTGTAGAAATAAAAACAATGAGCTCTAGAAAGAGGTTCTGGGCAGGTGCCCTGGCCTTGGGCACTCAGCGTCAGTTCGCTGTGGCGACCTCAGCAAGGTATAATGACACAGAGTCCACCGTTTTTTCCAAGGGAATTGATCTCTGCCATCTGAAGAGCAGTTGTGTAATTCTGAGTGATCTCCAGCCCTCACCTGGAGATTGGCAGCAATGGTTCCCCAGGAGAAAATAACTGCTTTGGAGGGTGGAATCTATGGCATTGTACCTGTCTGAGGTCCCACCCCTCCTCAAAACCCACCCTTTACAGGTTCCAACCCTCAAATCTCCAGGAATTTCCCAACCTTGAGTTGGCAACCCTATCTCCTTCCCAGCCAACCCTCAGTCTACCTTAATCTGTCCTTCTAACTTCAGCTTTCCATCTACTCAGCACCACCTGCAGCCTCTACCTAGGAAAAGTACAGTCTTTCTCCATAATGGGGACCCAAGCAGGAGGGAAGCAACCTCAGCAGGGTATAATGACACAGAGTACACCCTGCCAAGCAGCCGTTAGCAGGGGAATGGATCTCTGCTGTATGGACAGCAGTTTTAATTCTGAGTGATCACCAGCGCTCACCTGGAGATTGGCAGCAGTGGTTCCCCCAGGAGAAAATAACTGCTTTGGAAGGTGGACTCTATGACAGTCTATTCAACTGAGGCCTCTCCTCTCCCCAAACTCTGACGTCTGTAGATTTCACCACAAAATATCCAGGAATTTCCTAACCTGGAGCTGGCAACCCTAGTCAGGACTGGCCCCAATGAGTTCCCCACCAAGGCCAAAGTAGGCCTGGGATGGGCCTCCTGCCTTTGGCTTTTAATGACAGAACCAAGCTTGGTTGCCTAGCAACAGCCACTGTGGGAAAAGTTAGTCCCACAGGAGCCAAGCAGGAGAAGCGTCTTTGGTTAGACAGCCATTTTGGCAGTTTATTCTGTCAGGGAAGTGGCTAGGCTGGCAGTGGGCGGGGGAGAGGAGCGAACCCAGCACCCAGCCAATGGCATGCAAGTACTCTTGAGTGGCGGTTGATGAGTCAATGGCTGATGGAGCGCAGAGCACAGTCAGTGGGAGAGCCGGAAAGTGCCAATACTTTTATTAATGGAAAATGTACTAGACAGTTTGGTGTAGTGATTAACTGCACGGAGTCTAATCTGGGAAAACTGGGTTTGATTCCCCACTCTTCCACTTGCAGCTGCTGGATGACCATAGTTCTGTCAGACATGTTCTCTCAAGGACAATTCTGGAAAGAGCTCTCTCAGCCCCACCTATTTCACAGGGTGTCCGTTGTGGGGAGGGGAGGGGAAGGGAAAGGAAGGGAAGGGAGTTTGTAAGCCATAGGAACTGACATCTTTTAGAATAATCACCACAGCCACAGAACAGCATCAGAATGAAATGAAATAAGATGCTTAATATCTGTTAGAAAACTGAGAGACAGTTTGGTGTAGTGGTTAAGTGCATGGACTCTAATCTGGGAGAACTGGGTTTGATTCCCCACACCTCCACTTGCACCTGCTGGATGACCTTGGGCAAGCCATAGTTCTGGCACAGCTGTTCTTGAAAAGGGGCAGTCTCTGTCAGAGATCTCTCAGTCCCGCCTACCTCACAGGGTGTCTGTTGCGGGGAGGGGGAGGGAAAGGAGTTTGTAAGCCGCTCTGAGACTCCTTTGGGTAGTGAAGGGCGGGGTATAAATCCAATCTCTTCTTGTTCTTCTTCTTAGAAGAAGAGATTGGTTAGTTGCTATGGGAGGAATATCTTCATATTGGGCAGCCTCTAAAGATTTAATTTTCATGAAGCTTTTTTATTTGCAGTGAATTAAATCGGTACCCAGAAGAAACTGTCAATATCTGTAAAGCAACAGTTACAGCAAGTATTGTTGGCTTGGTATATGGAGGCATTCCAGGCTTTACATATGCCAAGAAACGATACATTGAGCAGAGTGCTGCAGAGATATACTACAATCGCCTGGATGCTGCGGTATGGAGAATGATCTGGCATTTTATTGCACATGTTTCTGTAGCTTTTTGACCCTTTTCAGAACTTGTTTGTTGGATGACTGGCTTGAGAAAGAGCCATCACAGATTGGGCCCAGGAACTGTACTTTTATGCTGCAGGCATTTTACACTCTCAGCTGTGGGTCAACGAGTGTTGAGTAATCAAGTAATAGCAGAAGTACGCATGTGTGAAAGTACTTTTTGTTCTGGCAAAATCAAAGCCAGCGGAATTGTGTTGTGTGCATGGGTGAAATCCACATTTGTTTGTTAAAAAGGCATATATGTTGTCTGGGGCAGTAGTTCTACAAAGAAAGTGGATGTGTGGCAGAGCAGGTGCAAATTTGTATAATGCAAACTGACTTAGAGTAGTTTCTTTCTAGTCTAAACCAACATTGTAAGACCTGATATGCTGGTGATACAAACACAAGCGGGTAAAAAAGAAAGCAAAAAAACAGTGGTGCAGTAAAGAAGATATTTATTTAATTAATTACCCAATGTGTTTTTCATTAGACCCTGATGAAGCTAGTGTGAAATGCATAGGGAAAATTAACTGAATAAATATCTACTCTCCTTTATTACACCATTGATTTTTTGCCTATTTTTCTCTTGGTGACTTTTTCCACAATCACAAATGTGCCTGGTTTTCTCATTAAAATCAGGAATGGGATATATGGAATGTTATTTTCCACCTGTTTATTTACTTATGGTATTTACAATGCAACCCTAATTTCTCCACAGCAATCTGTACACCGTGCAGCTATACGTGGCTTCATCCGTTACGGCTGGCGATGGAGCTGGAGAGTTGCTGCCTTTGTAGCAATATTCAAGTAAGTGTGTCTGCTATTACTTGTAGGAGTCTTGTTTGTAGTCCTTCAGTGACTACATTCATTCACAGCAATCCAGCTATCTTACACAAGGTACTAAGACATCACTCAAATCCCTGTTGCATTTGCAGAGAATTTTCCTCACACTTATTCTAGATCTTTTTGATCTGTAACTATTGTAAATGTATGTCACTCAATGAACTGTTAATGCAGCATCAGTTTATGGGCAAACTCTGGGAGATACTTTGCATTTCTGAGATGTACAAACTGTTATCTAAGATTCGTATGTAAGCTTTTCCAAACTTTTGAACTCTGGTTGCTAGTATTAAAACTGAAAACTTTGTTTGTATGATGCATTTGTCATTTACCTCTAATTTATGAAGCTAACTTGATACACATTCTATGTTTAATCTCATTGTGGATTTTAAAAAATGGATGCTGTCACTTCTGTGGCATGTGTTTTCATTTTTCTACACATACATGGAATCAGAAGGTTTTCTTACATGTTACATGTGAGCTGTGTCATGTGGAAGGAGGAGTCAGATGTGACATGGCTCTTTCTGGCCAAATGGTCTTTCTGTCATTTGCCATTTGAGAAATGAAATTCTGCTCATCTTTTCAGTTGAGACTTGCAGGCTTCCAGTGTGGGCATTCAGAAATTGTGGCTCTTCCCTCCAATTAACCCTTGTTTTTATTCCTTTGGCAGCACTGTGAGCATCAGTTGGTCTGCATACCGTGATAAAAGTTCACTCAGTCATTTTGTTGCTGCAGGAGGTGAGATTGTCTATTTTGAATGATAATTGTCTCCAGTTTGAGTGTGCACTGGAGTCTTGAATCTTATTCTTCCGAGCTTCAGTCTTTCACCCTGATTCAATTGCTTAATAACATTTGAAACAAGAAATAATGTTCTTAAACTGGGGAGATGCGTTTTAAGTCTTAAATTTAGGGTTGCCAAGTCGTACCTTAAGCCGCAGCGGGGGAGTCCCGACTCGCTTCGGGAGAGCGCGCAAAGCGCGTGCTGCAAGCATGTCACCTGGAAGTGACGCGGCCGCGTTGGGCGCACCGGGGGCGGGGCCGCGGTCATCCAAGGGGAAAACATAGAGTTTTCCCTCGGATGACCGTGGCCCCACCCCCGGCACGCCCAGCGTGGCTGCGTCACTTCCGGGTGATGTGCTGACGCCGGGCACGTCCCATGCTTTGGGGGTGAAGTTCCCCCCGGGGCCTGATCCGCCGTCGGGGGGACTTGGCAAGCCTACTGAAATTCATCTTAAGTACATTTACTTTTAAATCCTGGTTAGCTCAGAAAAAAAATCCCTTTCAAACGTGTGTACGTGTGTACTTATGTTTATAGCTTTAATATTGTAGTTTGTAGTTGACCTTGGATGAAAGATTATTAAAGTATTAATAAATTAGAAGATTAGTAAATAACTTGGTCTTGTTTGGGGAGTGTCCATGGCTTCAGTGGTAGAGCATCTGGGTTCAATCCTTGGCATATCCAGGGAGGTGGTACGAAAGACCACTGCCTGAAATCCTGGAGAGCCAGTGCCAGTCACAGTAGAGACATTATCTTGGGCATTCTGTTCCCAGTTGTGTGGATTCATCAGTTTGTTTTTAAGTGTTAACATGACATTTTTTAAAAAAATCTTAGGGCATAATCTAAGTACCTAATGGCATATATTTAGGAAATAATCATGTGACGTGTGGAACTGCTCTTGTTAAAAAAAGGTTTGGCCTTAAGCTGAAACAAAGTCAGTAGTGCGTATTCAGACTAGCAGCTGCTCTCTAGGGTGTCAGGTTGAGGTCTTTCACCTCTCCTACTGCCCGGTCTTTTTAGCTGTGGATTGAACCTGGGACTTTCTGCATGCCAAGGAGATGTTTTACCACTGAGTCTGAACCCATCCTCAACTGTGATGTATTTTGCTATATTCTTATACATTATTGAAACTAGTTGTAGTTTATGGTGAGTTGACTTTTCCAGCTTCTGCCTGTTTCCAGTTCTTAAACTGAGAGTCTGATTCAGACTGGATTATCACGTTGCCTGGTCTCTGTATGTGTGACAGGCAGCTGCTCTTGCACTGTAAGCATGCAGGAGGTTCTTCCTCAACTTGACGCACAACAAAAACTACCCAGCATTTTTACTTGAATGTGCTATAGGGGACCACTTCTAGAGGGTTAGCAGCTGTGTCAGTCTGCGGCAGTTAAAATAGCAAAGAGTCATGTAGCAATGTAAAAACTAACACATGCATTGTGGCATCAGTTTTGTTGAACCAGAGCCCATTTCATCAGATGTATGAAATGACAAGGTAGCCTGTGTTTCATAAAAACTTGTCCTGCAATAAATTCATTGTTCTTTAAAGTGCCACAAGCTGTGTGTTATTTTGACCTGTAGGAGATACTTCCTCATCTCTGACTAGGGTAAGCCACTAGATAAGAACATAAGAGACGCCAATGTTGGATCAGGCCAAAGGCCCATCCAGTCCAACACTCTGTATCACACAGTGGCCAGAAATACCAGTTCCGTCAGGAGGTCCACTAGTGAGGCCAGGGCATTAGAAGCCCTCCCATTGTTGCCCCCCCCCCAAGCACCAAGAAGACAGAGCATCACTTGCCCCAGAGCCCCTATCTATACCTTGTGGCTAAAGAGCCCTAAGCGCCTTAACCGTTCCTCATAGGGAAAGTGTTCCAACCCTTTTATCATTCGAGTTGCTCTTTTCTGCACTTTTTCCAAAGCTATAATATCCTTTTTAAGGTGTGGTGACCAGAATTGCACACAGTATTCCAGATGAGGTCGCACCATTGATTTATATAGCGGCATTATGATATTGGCTGATCTGTTTACAATACCCTTCCTAATAATCCCCAGCATAGCATTGGCCTTCTTTATTGCAGTCACACACTGTCTCGACATTTTCAGTGAGTTATCTACTACAACTCCAAGATCTCTCTCTTGATCTGTCTCTGCCAGTTCAGACCCCATCAACGTGTATTTATAGTTAGGATTTTTGGCTCCAATGTGCATCACCTTGCACTTGGCCACATTGAACCCCATTTGCCATGTTGACGCCCACTCGCCCAACTTTGACAGATCCCTTTGGAGTGCCTCACAATCCTCACTGGTTTTCACCACCCTGAACAACTTCGTATCATCCGCAAATTTAGCCACTTCACTGCTTACTCCCAACTCCAAATCATTAATGAACAAGTTAAAAAGCAGTGGACCAAGTACTGATCCCTGTGGTACCCCACTGCTTACACCCCTCCACTGGGAGAACTGCCCATTTATACTCACTCTCTGTTTTCTATTAATTAGCCAGTTTTTGATCCATAAAAGGACTTGTCCTTTTATCCCATGATTTTTGAGCTTGCTTAGGAGCCTTTGATGAGGAACTTTATCAAAAGCTTTCTGGAAGTCAAGGTAAACAATATCTATTGGATCCCCCTTGTCCACATGTTTGTTCACCCCCTCAAAGAACATTAACAGGTTAGTGAGACAAGATCTTCCCTTACAGAACCCATGTTGAGTCTGCCTCAATAGGTTTTGTTCATCTATGTGCCTACTAATTCTTTCCTTAATAATGGTTTCCACCAATTTACCCGGTATCGACGTCAGACTGACAGGCCTGTAATTTCCCGGATCTCCTCTGGAACCCTTTTTAAAGATGGGAGTGACATTAGCTACCTTCCAGTCCTCAGGAATGGAGGCTGATTTTAAGGAGAGATTACATATTTTTGTCAGGAGATCCACAAGTTCACAATTGAGTTCTTTCAGAACTCTCGGATGTATGCCATCTGGGCCTGGTGATTTATCAGTTTTTAAGTTGTCTATCAGTTTTAGGACCTCCTCTCTCGTCACCTCAATCTGACTCAGGTCTTTCAACACCCCTCCCGAACTCAGCGGCTCTGGAGTGGGCAAGCACCTCTCATCTTCCACAGTGAAGACGGAGGCAAAAAATGCATTTAGCTTCTCAGCCATTTCCCTATCATCCTTCAGTACTCCTTTTACCCCTTGGTCATCCAAGGGCCCCACTGCCTCCCTGGCTGGTTTCCTGTTTCTAATGTATTTGAAGAAAGTTTTATTGTTGGTCTTTACATTTTTTGCTATATGCTCCTCATATTCCCTTTTTGCATGCCTGACCACAGACTTGCATTTTATTTGCCATAGCCTGTGTTCTGTTTTATCAGCCTCACTGTGACTAGCTTTCCACCGCTTAAAGGAATCCTTTTTACCTTTTACAGCTTCCATTACTTTGTTTGTTAACCATGTAGGCTTTTTCTTATACCTGTTTGTGCCTTTCCTAACCTGCGGAATATATTTTATTTGAGCTTCTAGAATTGTAGTTTTAAACAGTTTCCAAGCTTCCCCAATGGTTTTGACCCTTTCTACTTTTCCCTTCAGTTTCCTCCCCACATGTCCCCTCATATCAGAAAAATTACCCCTTTTAAAGTTAAAAGTGGTTGTGTGAGTCTTTTTGGCCAATTCTCTATTTGTACAAATGTTGAACTCAACAACATTATGATCACTGTTTCCAAGTGGTGCAATCACTTTTACATCTCTCACCAGGTCTTGAGTGTTACTTAGGACCAAATCAAGGATCGCCTCTCCCCTGGTAGGTTCCGTGACCATCTGCTCCATAGCACAGTCATTTAGAGTGTCTAGAAACTCAATCTCTTTTTCTCGACTAGAACACATATTGACCCAATCAATGTGTGGGTAGTTAAAATCACCTATTACAACACCGTTTTTTTGTCTAGCTGCTATCTTTAATTCATTCATCATTTTATAATCCTCCTCTATCTTTTGATCTGGTGGGTGATAACAAACTCCCAGTGTTAAGTTTCCTTTTGGCCCCTCTATTTCAACCCATAGAATTTCCAGAAGCGAATCCAATTCTCTTAGCCTCTCAGTCTTTCTGGACTTTATACCCTCTCTGATAGAAACAAGTATGTTTATTGCTTGTACTTTCCAGCTTTTATAATAGGTGGGGCCACTTCACACTTGAACTGCTGCAGAGAACATAGTATTACATTGGTATTTCCCACAGCAAATGTGGGCAGGTACTTGTCTGTATGATGCTGAAACCTTGAATACTTTATGTGGAAAACAACAGTGTGATGCTAGTGTTTCTCATACATGGGACTTCCCAAGTGGAACTGGAATGTCAGAGCAGCTATCACAATGCATTGTTTTTGAGACTTCCTGCAAACCTCCTTTTGTGACCCAGTTTTATTTTATTTTCAGCTGTTACAGGAGGCTTGTTCAGATTTCACTTGGGCTTGGGACGTTTTGCAGCAGGCAGCATTTTTGGAGCATTGTTGGGGTAGGTTAATTTAAATGTGCTCACTTATGCCATACACTCATGCACATACCAGTAATCAGAGGTAGAATTATTGCCTTGTACTCACCATGTAGCATTTAATTATTATTCCAACCCCATTTTCTTGCTTGGAGATTATAGCTGCTTCCCCCATTCCAGCCTTTTTTGTTCACCTTATTACTCATCTTCTTTCATGGGAACTGGAATTCTTTTGGATCCTAATATTTAAAGGAGCAGAGGAGCTGAATTGTTTTACAACTGATGCTTTTTGTGGTGGAGCCATTGTTAATCAGGAAGGGGTCTTGTTCTTTTATACCTTGTGTACTATGGATTGGATCCAGACTAATTTTTGCTGTTAACGGAAGGCACTTCTGCCCATGGAGTGGACCTTTCCAGCCGCCCCTCTCCTCTTGTAGCCTGCTGAGCTCCCTGAAAATGCTACTTCTATGTGACAGGGGGTCATTTTGGGGAAATCTAGGCTACTAGAGGAGGGATGAGGCAGAAGAATTCTATTCAGCTGATGTAAAGCCTACCATTATTGAAAACCAAACACTGGATCCACCCCCTATGTAAATAGTAAAAAGGTGGGATTAAAAATATACGAAGTAATTTGAATTTGTTCTCTGTCAGCTATCCAACCAATGATCTTTTCAGTACTAATTTAAATCCATAATATTATTAGTAGTAGTGTCTGTATTTAAGGTATTTTAGGGAAAGTTAATATAGTGTCCACTTGGAGAATCCTGTTCTCTGAGGTGTGGATAATAAGCGCCTCACTATTGCATTGAGCTCTGTTTAAAGAAGAGACTTCTTATTGAGTGAAGAGATGAAAGTACTAGCAGAGTGTTGTATCAGTGACCATGTGGTTGGGGCTCTTATCGTTCATAATTGCTGTGACCATTAATGTGTTCCACGTGGTTACTCCTGCTTCCTGTGTCATCTCCAACAGTGTTCCTGCAGGAGGATTGCTGATGGCAATGCAAAACCTTTCTGGTGAAACGTTAATTGAGAAAAGAAAACGGGAGCGAAGGGAACTGTATGAACAGCAGCTGATAGAGTGGTAAGGAACCCATACTATGCTGTTTTAACTGCTAGTTCTGACACTGAGCCAGGGTAGAATCCGATGATTCCAAGCTTTCATTTAGTGAGAAGAGTTTCTGACAGATGAAAACACGGGGCTGGATCTCAGTCTTTCTCCAGACACTCCACTGTTGATGTGACTGGGCATTCTAGCTGTCCTGGCTATCCTCTTGACACTGGTCCTAAATCTTCTTCAAACTGAGATTAAAATATTCCTTCTGTTAGCAGAGATGTAAGAAGTAATCTAGCCAGTTTAAGTCAAAGAATTTATTAATGTTAAGGGACCTTGGGTGACCAGATGCATATGTGTATAATGCTGGTTAACACCAGTGGGAGGATTGCTCTTTTTGTTTTTATTCAAAGCAAGAAATATAGCACCATTAATGAAAGCTTAATTCAGCCAGCCTTGCAATCTATCTTGTCCCTAAAATCTTAAGCTTATCTTTAATGTCTGATCAATATTCTGGGACTTAAAATATGCACCCATTGGCTTTTCCTTTCAAAGGTGAATTTATATCCATTTCCTTCTGTATAGGGACTGTTTGTTCTTTGTTAGCCATAGAACAACATTGTCAACCAGTCAGGTTATACATCACATTTGAGGATGTGCAGGTGTCTAAGCATTTTATGGTATTGCTGGTGCCATTCAGTCCTGTAGTGTTACCAGAATAGATGAAAAGGCATAGGTGGTTGCTTAAAGGGGCTGGTTTCTGTGTCATTGCATCTGGATAAATTACAGCTGATGACCAACAGGCAGTTTCAGAATGGAGGGATTGGCTTTTTGTCAAGGCCTCCTTGAAGGAATCATCTTTTTCCTTTTTTTAAAAATAGTTTATTTATCGTCTTTTTCCAAGATGGACCGTGAACCATGAAATAATATCAGAGGGTTGGCTTCAGATGCCTGTGTTAGTAATCTTATAATTGGAGAATGAGACGAGTTGCAGTGTCTCCCTCCTAGTAAACCTTATTCTTGTTTCAGGAACACTAGCCTCAGCATCACTGAGAGCATCTCAAAAGAAGCAGATGATTACATTCAAGAAGGAACTGAGAAATGATGAAAAGATCCAGAAATTAGTAAATCTTGCCCCAAATTCTGCATCTTGACTGAACTGCAATGGGATTTGTGGCACAAACTGGACTCATAACATCTGTGTCAAAGGATCTTGTGCTAAAACTCTCCCCATGCCCTGTTCTTCAGGTCACAGTGCATTCTGTGGTGGGGGCTCACACAGTTGCTCTGTTACACTTCAGAATGTTCAACTTGGATTGATGATTTTGATTAGAGAGGGGCAAATAATTGAGTAAAGGGCACATAGAAAATCAAAAGCAAAAAATTCAAGTTTTACTGGGGTAAGCTGTAAGTGTGGTAAGGGATAAACTGAGGAGGTCTTCCAAGAATATATTTTTGGAAGAGTGGAGTAACTTCCTGAAGGCGTTCAGGACAACTACATTTATTTAAATTTTTTAAGTGGAAACATTCTATAAATCCAGCAGTAATTTGTAATACAGTACCCTTTATCTTCCTGAATACTGCCGATCTGAAGAACATCTTGCAAAAAAAAAAGGTCACTGATAAACACACAGAGTTAATGAAGTAATCTGACTTCCAGTGTGATCCTGGTATTTTCAATGTAAAGATGGTTCAATAAATACACATGGGGATGTCTATGTATGGAAAATCCAACTCTTACAGAATGGCAATTCAGATTCTGAATTTGGCAAATCAAGAAAACTTGCACACTAACTTTACATTGTATAATGTTATATCTATATTCAGATTTCACAGTATGCAGTGTCCTTATGTAGGCTGAGCACAGGAAAAACTATGGCTGTTTGGGACAGGCATAGAATCGTAGAATGTTAGAGTTGGAAGGGACCTTGCAGGTCATCTAGTCCAACCCCCTGCACTCTGCAGGAGCATAGCTGAAAGATAGCCCTACGACATACCCGAAAGATGGTCATCCAGCCTCCACTTGAAAATGTCCAGGGAAGGAGCATGCACAACCTCCCAAGGCAGACTGTTCCACTGCCCAACCACTCTTACAGTTAGGAAGTTTTTCCCGATATTTAGCCGGTAACGACTCCCTGTAATTTCCACCCGTTAGATCTAGTCTTGCAGTCTGGAGCAAGAGAGAATATATCTGCTCCATCTTCTACATGACAGCCCTTCATATACTTGAAGACTGCAATCATGTCCCCCTCTAAGCCTTCTCTTTCCCAGGCTAAACATACCCAACTCTTTCAGCCTTTCCTCATAAGACTTGGATTCCAACCCTCTCACCATCCTGGTTGCCCTCTTCTGGACACGCTCAAGCTTGTCAACATCCTTCCTAAAATGTGGTGCCCAACATTGGACACAGTACTCAATAATTGCCTTGAATGGGTTGTAACTTCATGAAGAGTTAAGGTATAGGGTGGTGTCCAGCATAATTATGGTATGGGAGATGGGAGTACCAGACCACCTCACCTGTCTCTTGAGAAACCTGTATAAGGGTCAAGAAGCAACAGTTAGAACCGGATATGGAACAACTGATTGGTTTAGCATAGGAAAAGGAGTACGACAAGGATGTATATTGTCACCTTGCTTATTTAATATATATGCAGAGTACATCATGCGAAATGCTGGCCTGGATGAATCACAAGCCAAAGAGGAGAGCGCAAAAGTGGGTTTGAAGCTCAACATCAAAAAAACTAAGATCATGGCATCCGGCCCCATCACTCCTTGGCAAATAGAAGGGGAAGTCGTGGAAATAGTGACAGACTTCACGTTCCTGGGATCCCAGATCACCGCAGACTGTGACAGCAGCCATGAAATTAAAAGACGCCTGCTCCTTGGTAGGAAAGCGATGGCGAACCTAAACAGTATGATTAAAAAGTAAAGACATCACCCTGCCAACAAAAGTCCACATGATCAAAGCAATGGTATTCCCAGTAGTCAAGTATGGCTGCGAGAGCTGGACTATAAGGAAGGCCGAGCGCCGAAGAATAGATTCTTTTGAACTATGGTGCTGGAGAAGACTCTTGAGAGTCCCTTGGACTGCAAGAAGATCAAATCAGTCAATCCTAAAAGAAATCAACCCTGACTGTTCCCTGGAAGGCCAGATAATGAAACTGAAGCTCAAATACTTTGGCCACCAAATGAGAAGGGAGCACTCACTGGAGAAGACCCTGATGCTGGGAAAGATTGAAGGTCAAAGAAGACGGGGACGGCAAAGGATGAGATGGTTAGACAGTGTCATCGATGCAACGAACATGAAGTTGAGCAAACTTCAGAGGACGGCGGAAGACCAGAGGGCCTGGCGTGATCTGGTCCATGGGGTCACGAAGAGTCGGACTCAACTGTGCGACTGAACAACAACAAAGGATAAATGCTTGCAGGGTAATCCTTTCTCATTTCTGTACATCTCCCAACTCTACTGCCAAAAAAACTTCAAAGCTTGTTTTCAAGGATACTCAAGTATGTTCTAAGTATGACATAACTATTCTTATGGGGCTATTTTGTGTGTTCAATCTATCGTTGATATATTTATCAGTATACCATTGTACACAGCTCTGAATTTCTAAGGCATATATGCCTGGTTTTTCTGCAATATAAATATAACATCCTGTGCAAACATTATTAGCTTTTTGACATATCAGGCCTAGATTTCTATGAGATATAAAAGGATTTGGGGTTTTTATGGCAAAAGTGTTTGGCAACTCTGAGAGGAACAATATTTAGCACACACACACACCCTGCCAATGTATGTGGTTGGGTAACTATGTTGTACAATCCTCTTTCTTACCACAAATAATCACATAGTTGGCTGTTGTTGTTTTTCTGGGAGGGGGAGTTGCCTGTCCAGTCATGCTTATGCTAAACTGCTCACATGAACATGTGTAAATATTCTGGCCTGGGTTGTGTTACGTGTACAATGAAGCCCATAATCCATTTGCCACAAACATTGGGAAAGAGAGAGGTGAGTATGTGAAGGGAATCGATCAACCATATGCAATCACAGGTTGTGTGAATTGGCCCCTATAGAATTGTGAACTTCTAACCAACCTAGCAGTTCGAAAGCAAGAAATTGCAAGTAGATAAATAGGTACCACTACAGTGGGAAGGTAACAGTGTTCCGTGCGCCTTGGTGTTTAGTCACACCGGCCACATGACCACGGAAATGTCTTTGGACAGTGCTGGCTCTTCGGCTTTGAAACGGAGATGAGCACCACAACCCTAGAGTCGGATTAGATTGGCTTTCAAGCAAGGGAACCTTTACCTTTACCTTTTTAACCATTGTTCACACATGCCTCTCATTTATTTGCTGTTAGGGGAGGAAAAAAGCACACAGCAAAAAAAGTGGTTAAGCTTTCCTCATTTAATTGTGTCAATCCAAAATAAAACTATTAAATCGAAAACAATTCACTTATAACTTAGTTTCACATCTTAAAGCACACTGAAAAGCTATAGGGAGACTTAATTGCATACATTTCCCTGAAAAGCAAAAATAGACATAAACATACTGTATGTTATAAAGTACAAGATCAAAACCTTTCTTTATAGTTATGTCTGCATAAAAATATAAAAAGGCAGCCACAGCCCCAAGACACACAATTCTGAGAAGATTTGGTGAAGAACACTAATGTTAAGAGTATATTGTATCTTGGCATAATTACAGTTTTTTAATTGAAAAGTGCTGCTTAATAAATATGCACAAAGTGAAATTGAGAGACATGAGCCTGAGTACAGAGAATGGAAGTTATCTCTCCCTCCTTGGAAACAAGCCACAGTGCTTGTTTTGGGCCAGGTGATGGGAAGACAGTGTTGGGAGAGGGAATTGCCAGAAACAGCTCCAGTATTACAGGTGCTGGTTTTGGATTATTTCTGCCAAAGCCCCCTTCTCACCATATCTTTTCATGCTATACCCCATGTTGTTCCTGAGAACTCCTGGGCCCCTGGAAGCTTTTGGGGAGACATGAGGACCTGCAGTAACGAGGACTAGTAAAGATCGGTTCTGTACTCTGCTTATGATTCTTTGCATTTCAGTCATTACTGTTAGAATATATCATGTTCATAAAATAAACATTCTTTGGGGGATTTGTAAGAAAAATCTGTGCTGCTTCAAACAGACGGGAACTGATCAGAAACCATTCCCAAGAGTTTAGAGAGGGAAGGGTCTGTTATCTTGGGAAGATCCCTACAGGAACAGCATAATCCATGCCAAGGATCACCATCTCAAAGGAGTGGGGTTTTCACATAGTCACTTTCCAACAGGAATCCAGCTGTGAAATCAAAGGTGGTAATATTGCATGACAGGAAACTTCTGCTCCTCAATGAATGAAACAGTCGGTCTAATCAAAAGAGTGTGGCTTAAAACTTTTATACAAGATCACTCAATCTCTGATTGAACTCCATGTTCAATGAAGGAAGATAATACCAATTTAAGTCAATGATTCCAGAAATATGTCTTTGGTTTCAAGTCCCTCACAATCTTAAGACAGTTGGTCATGTAAACAGTACCTTGTATAAATGTGTGGCTAAAGAGAACATTTGCTAGAGAAATTCATAGATTTGTCAGTTGCTTCAGGGCAAGTGTGGGTGGACAGGTAAAACACGGTGGCATTCTTTGGCTGGTGCAGAGAAGCATCAGATCACAAAACTTTCAGGTATTGTTGTTTGTCTACAGACAATTAATATATGAAAGGCTTAACAGAATATAGAATACTGAAGTTGAAGGTACCCAGCAAAGATAATCTTCCTAGTCCAAATTAAAAAGGGCACTAGATCATGAGGCAACTTGTGTGGTGTAAAACTCACTGGTGTGAACATTTAGAAGCACATTACATGTTAGAATTAGTAGCCTGACTAATGAAAAACTCCACAATAGTTTTGAGCTTTTCCTCTCTAACCTGGTACCACATTTTATTCCTGCCATTTCCACCATCCAAGCCTTCAGACTTCACCACTTTCTTTCCCTATGTCATCTATAACACTAGTATCATGTTTAATCCAGAGAACACAGTTCAACAGTCAGGTTTGCTTAAAGCTACAGAAATCCTAACACCTTCCTCCCCACACTAACACTAATGTAAAAAATACTCCCAGCCCATGAGGAAGTAGTATCTCCCAACTACTGGGACTTGTCTTTATACTTATCCCTTTTGAAGGGACCAGTGAAAATATTATAAAAACAATAAAGCTTATTTTATTTTATTGGTTTGGATCCAGCAAGTTTCCTCTGACTGAAAGGGGCCAGATGATTTTCACCTGTTGCAGCAGACCTCAGGACATTCCAGCATCAGGATCTTAGGGGAGGCCATTGACAGAAATTCCTTCCCACACTAAATATTATGTGCAGGCTCCAACCCATTGGTTCTACCTGATCATAGAAGTAAGAATAAATCGTATGCAAGCTGCATTTAGGAACACTGCCTAGGAGTTTTCAAAACAAACAAAAAATGACTTTCCTACATAGCAGGCAATAATATTATCCTAACCAACTTCACAGCTGTACTGGTATATTCCATTTTGCTGTTGATGGCATGGAATGGCTATGAATTATGAGAATATCTCGTCACTTCACTAAACATCCTCTTGCTGAGGACCTTCCTCTACAATGAAGAAGAGGAGGAGGAGGAGGAGATTAGATTTATACCCTGCCCTTCACTACTCATAGGAGTCTCAGAGTGCCTTACAATCTCCTTTGCCTTCCCCTCCCCACAACAGACACCTTGTGAGGTAGGTGGGGCTGAGAGAGCTCTTTTGAGAACTGCTGAGAGAACAGTTCTGAAACAACTTGTAACTGACCCAAGGTCACACCAGCAGCTGCATGTGGAGGAGTGGGGAATCAAACCCAGTTCTCCCAGATTAGAGTCCACGCTCCTAACCGCTACACCAAACTGGCTCTCTGAGGGTTAGTTC